GCTGGGAAGATAGGTTACGATCAATTAGAGAGTTTTGATTGACAAAGGAGGCGATAAACCTGTGGCAGTCATGAGAATGTGCCTCATGGATCTCTAATATAGTTAGTATAGGCAGTATAATTGACCAAGCTCTTCAACTGCTGTACTTGAGATACACTTCTGTGCTTGTGCTAAGTCTTGCTTTCCTATGAGCTGTTTTCGTTAGAGAGACTTGGGACACTTTTGGTGGCTTGAAGACTTCTCAATGGTGAATCTTCCTGCTGAATCTTCCTTAGCCTGCACAGCAGTCTAAGATGTTTCTACCCAACATTTCTTCCCTCTCTTTTTCACTCAGTATCAGACTTGTATTGCAATCTGATGACTCTTCCAGGTTTTCACTCCTTTATTTTAGTCTTCTTTCAGTTACTATAGCAGAATATATAAAGCAAAAGAAATTTATTTCTTTTACAAAGAAAATAAATTTATTTCTTATAGTGCTGAAGGCTGGGAAGTTTAAGATTGAGAAGCTGTCATTTAGTTGGCCTCTGGTGAATGTCTTGATCTGCAGTATAACATGGCAGAGAAGTGAAAGCGGAAGTGGACATGTGGAAAAGGAAAGGTGTGGCTGCATGAATTCCTTCGTGATGCTGGAACCTTCCTGACCCAAACACCTCTCACTAGGCTCTACCTCCCAACACTGCTGCATTGAGGAATTAAGGTTCCAACTCATGGACTTTTGGGGGACACACTCAAATCTTGGCATACTCTCTTATTTTCCTTCATACAGGTATTTTGCTTAATAAAATCCTTGCATATTTAGTCTTATTTTGATATCTGACCTGGATTAAGTAGAATTTAGTCTTAGAAGCCTTTGACTTAGCTTCATTAATCCATTTAGTCACCAGGCATAATGGACAAGAAAGTGAATCCTGTTCAGTGTTAACACATTCTGCCCCCTTGGAAACAGCCAAAGTTGCAGGTCAGTAGCAGCAGCTTCCAGGATGAAAGACTGATGATACAAAAGAGGCTTCCCTTTTTATCCTCATTATAATGTAGATGCTGTATTCTTTCTGGGTTAAGCATCTTCAATCTTTATTATTTCAAGTTATTGTTTCAAATTGTATTACATACCATGTCCCTAGTATTTTATTTAAAATATCTTTATTTTTCTGTAAAGAACAAGTGTGCCATATTTAGCTTTTGATAGAAAAAATTAAGAAACTATCATAAAGAGAATAGTTAAAAGAAACACTAGTAAAGGGAGCCAACACAAGGAGAGATTTTGGAAAAAGGGTGGTGTTTTAGTCCATTTTGTGCTTCTATAACAGAATATCTGAGACTGGGTTATTTAAAATAAACAAATTTATTTGGCTTAGTTGTAGAGGCTAGGAAATTCAAGACCAAGGGGCCAGCATCTGATGAGGGGCTTCTTGCTGTGTCCACCCATGGCAAAGGAGAAGGCGGAAGGGAAAAAGAGTGTATGGGGAAAGAGGGAGCCAAACTTGCTTTTATAACCAACACACTCCTGAGATAATGGGATTAATCTTTTCATGAAGACAGAGACTTCACCTAATCACCTCATTAGGCCCTACCTCCCAATACTATTGCCAGTTTCAAACACATAACTTTGGGGGACATATTGAAACTATTGAAGGTGATAACCAGTTAACATTCTTTACAGGAGAACAAAAATTGTAAACTGCAGCTAGAGCATTAAGACTGAACAGAAGGAGGAATTTGTCCTTGGAGAATGGGAAATTTTGTGGGCTACTCTCTGAAAGCAGTTTTTATTTTTATTTTTTGAGAGATTTCAGACTAATGGTTTCTAGATTTAATGTACACAGGAATCTTCTGGGGGAGCTTATGAAAACTGTGGATTTCAGCAGAGATGTCTATTCAGCAGATCTGAATTATTACTATATTTATATTCAGGAATCTTCACTTCTATAAGCTCCCTGAGTTTTTGTGATGTAGGTGGTCTGTGGCTAACAATTTGAAACAAACTACTCTAGATGGTTTTCCTGGGATAGTTTGATGGTCAGGATATATGGAGGCAGAAGGATAGATGGATGAGTCTTCTTTAACCTTTGAGTCAACCTCAGAGGCAGGGTTCTCTATAAATAAACTATTTACATTTTTCAAAGATACCAGAACATTTGGAAAGATTTCAAGAGATTTCTAAAAATTTTAGGGACATAAATTTAATAATATTTTCCTCGTGGAGCTATATTTCCGCACTGATTTAGCATTAACCTGACAAATGCTTTTCAGTCTCTTCCACTGTAGAAGTAGGAAAACAACCATAGCTATTAAATGGGTAGTGATAATGACAAAATAAGGCAAGTTATGCAAAACAGGACAATGCCTTACATATTATAAAGCAGGAATTGCCAAAGTTTTGCTGTAATGGTGAGAATGTAAGTATTTTAGCTTTGTGGGTCACATAGGTTCTGCTGTGACTACTCAACTCTAAAAGTGTTGCTTGAAAGCAACCACATAAAATAAATGAATGAATGTGGCTGTGTACTATTATAAAAATTTATTTACAAAAACAGGTAGTGAGCTAGATTTGGCCCACAGGCAGTAGTAATTCACTGACCCTTGCTATAAAGGCTTGATAAATTTTATTAGTATTATTAATACAATGGCTTACAAAAAATCTTTAATACTTAACAAAGCAATATATTTTTTAACCAAGAACTAAGTATATACCTCATTTACAATTTTTTAAAACAAATTTGCTTATGGGAGCAATGAAGAAAAAAAATCTTGCCTGTAAATCCTGGTATAACTTAATTGAATTAAAAAAAAAAAATTTAACTACAGAGACTGACATTCCATTGTTCTAGGTCCCTGAGGGAGAAATCCAGGCCAAAATGAAGAACAATGTTCACAAAGGCTTGGTAGAAATAAGAGGAGAAATTTGTTGAAATCTTCAACATCTCTGACCTTTGTTCTCTCTTGGAAGGGTTTGGTTTGGACTCACGACAGAGCTCATTTTACAAAGCACAGTTCATGGAAGGAGCAGCTGTAACAAATGTTCCATTAGGAGATATTTGTCTATTACGTTGCTCAATGTCTATTGACATTGAATTGCTTTTGTTTGTTTTAGACTTCAATTCTAAAAAAAAGTTTGTCTCTCCTAACGGACCAGTATACTTCCTTTTACCAAATGTTAGAGGTTACATATTGTTTATTTAGCTTTTTGCCTTGGTTATCTGTAAGACTGGAGTTAGATACAAGTGTCAATCAATATAATGCTTTGCATCTACTTGGGAGATACACCTTTTTTCCCTCAATTCTTATTTTTCCAAAATGTCAAAGATTATCCTAAATGTTATTGCATAGGTATCTTTCATTGTAAATTCCTTCAGATGCTTTTTAGATCTAGCTGAAATATAAATCAAAAATTATAAATAACAGTAATTTGGTCATATTTGGCAAAAAGAATGCTGTTTTCTATGTAAAGGGCCTCCCAAAGTAACAGATATATGAGTATAAATAAGATAAACTGTTAATAAATTCTTTATAAATAATGAAGTGTTTTGTAAATAAATATATTACAAGACAACATTATGATCTTTAGTTCTAGAGTTCAACAAACCTGGGTTCCAATTCCAGCTGCCTCACAATATCAGCTGCTCTGAATCTTAGTTTCATCATCTGTGAAATGACTATAATAGCTGTAACCATCTCACAGAATTGTTGTGAGAATTAAATGAAATAATACATATGATGTGCACATAGCGTAATGTCTGGCCTACGATAAGCATTAAACATTTATATTTGTTAGGTAGCTATCATGACATTTTAATTTTTCTAGCAGTATTTCTGTCAAAATATAGGAAATGTGGCTATTTGCTTAGCTCTAAATATGAGGTCCTAAAAGTTCATCTGAGCAATTACTGATGTTTTCTAAATCTATCCTCTCACTTTTTTCTCTAGTAGTTTGAGTGATCCCCGACTGAGCAGATGAAACATGACCTAACATCTGAGAACTCTGTTACCAAGTAGGGTGGATAGAAGACCATCAAAAACATTGTTTGGGAGTCTTAAATATTTACCCACAATTTAAATTGTCTAATAATTTAAACCATGGGCTGCTTTTCATGCTGTGTAATTCTATTGTTTTTCCATACAACTCCCGTATATCAGGGCTGGCAGCACTATTTACCTGAGCCGGTCTTTTTTTTTTTTTTTTTTTTTTTTTTTTTTGAGGCGGAGTCTCGCTCTGTCGCCCAGGCTGGAGTGCAGTGGCGCGATCTCGGCTCAGCGCAAGCTCCGCCTCCCGGGGTTTACGCCCTTCTCCTGCCTCAGCCTCCTGAGTAGCTGGGACTACAGGCGCTGCCACCGCGCCCGGCTAATTTTTTGTATTTTTAGTAGAGACGGGGTTTCACCGTGGTCTCTATCTCCTGACCTTGTGATCCGCCCGCCTCGGCCTCCCAAAGTGCTGGGATTACAGGCGTGAGCCACCGCGCCCGGCCACCAGTCTTATTTTATTTTACTTTTTGGTAACTTTCGTGAACTGAGGGAAGCGTGGAATGGCAAAATTGCATGACACAATTTGGTTTTGTACATAGACCCAATTCTGCTAATTCTCTACAATTTCCCCCTCACCTGTACTACCTAACTCTAAAATATATTATTAGAACATGAATTTAATATTTTTTCTTCTAGTTTTTTTTTTTTTTTTTTTTTTTTCTTTAGGAGGTAGTGACTGACAAGATAATAAAGCCCAAAGTGTTATGCTGACTGGGACCATTGAAGTTGGCAGAAAAAGGCCACAACAACAGCAACAAGGCCCAGGATTTTCAACAGAAAGGAAACTGGGAAATTAGATGAATCCTTCAGGACCCGAGTCTTTAGTGGCTTCAGTATCCTTTGTTTCTGGGTGAAGATGGCACTCCTGGCTCCTTCCCATTGCCCAGGCCCAGCTAGGCGATACTGATAGGAGTTGCAGGGTCCGAAAAACAGTCTCACAGCCAGTTTAGGATCTTTGAACAAGAGAGAGCAGAAATCTGGCTTCGCACCTATCTCTAAGGCGAGCTCATCCAAGTAGTCAACATAATTGGTCTGCAACGTCTGGCTCTGGCTTTCTCCAAACCTTAGTGAAGAAAGTAAAAAGGGAATATTCACAAAATGTTCTCAGTTTTCTAGAATATTAGGCATTCAAAACTGCTAAAGGAATGAAGGAATGAGTGAATACATGAATGAGTTTTGAATGAATCTCTGGTGGAAAGTATGAGTTTATTGTTCCAGGAGGCTCATATCTCAGATTGAGAATAGGCCCTCAAAGAGCCATGAATTCATGGATGCTCTAGAAATGTGACAAGATGATCACCATTGTTTGGCATTTTTTAAGCAGTGGCAAATCTCCAGGCAAGTACATACTAGTCAGGATGGCGGCAGGGATTCATGAGATAATGCGTATGAAAGCATAGCTTGGTGTCTTGCTCACAGGAGATGCTTAATATTTGCTTGTTAAATTACTAAAGTACCTGGCAGTCTGGATGACATATAGTAGATAATCAATGTTAGGTAAAATTGAATGTGAACAAGAGAAAACTCCCTACACCTGATGTGAACCCCAAATCAACTTTCCAAGGGTACTCGATCACTGTTGAACCTCATTTTACCTCATCATAAAGTACAAATCCTTGAACGTTCACACCAACCCCTTACTAATTTATTTTGATGGGGATTCTCCAGCTAACTTTTCACAGCTATTCAAGCTACTATCACCACCGTCTCATCCCATTCCCTCTCTAACCACGGAGTGTAGGTGGCTTGAGAAGTTACGGAATCTGACATGGGCATCATATAGAACTGAGATGAAATTAAGCCAAGGAGAAGTGCTCTGATTTGGTACAATTCTTATCTTTAAGTATTTGGTTCTTAACCTAGTATGTATAAGAATCGCTTAGGGAAAAGATAAAAATGCAATTTTTAGCCTCACACACAGAGTTTCTGATTCAATCATCTGGGCTCTAGCCCAGAAATTTGCATTTTATCAGGCATCTAGGTGGTTCTTGTAAGTAGCTAGATCACTGTACTTCAAGAAACACTGCTTCATTTAAAGAATTAAAAAATATTCTTACAGGTCAATTCTTTTTTCATTCCTTTTGATAATGTCCATCATCATAGTTCTCTCTGAGGGCAGGTGACACAAGCCTAAGGAATAAAAGGTTGGTTTGAATAGTAAGTTTGAGTCAATATCATTACTTTATCTAGTTATTGATTCTTAAAATTAAACTCTGGCCATTGAACCATGTCATACCAGTCAGGGCTTCTGTGCTGTTGAACTTCATGGGGTGCCACTCCCATAGCACTCCATGTGACGCTGTCCAGGGAGCACAGTCTATGGCATGGACTACAAGATGGAGAGGGCCAAGAGAAGAGGCTGGAAAAGGGAAGCATGTCTGGAAGCCTGGCAGCCATGACTAGCAGTTTGGCCTCTATCCTAAAGGTGATAGGAGGCTGTGGAAGTTTTCTGCATGAAGTGAGAAGATCAGATTTATTTTTTGGAAAGATCTGTCTGGCTGCTGAATTTAGGAAAATGGACTCCAGGGATGCAAGCCCAAAGTTGGGGAGACCGGTAAAGAGGCTGTTGAAATAAACCTGGTGAGAGATGAGAGTCGGGCAGTAGAGATAGGGAAAGATTGATGCAGGAGTTATTATTGTGAGTTCATGATTACATTGCCTGCCCACAAATGTCCCCTGAGCTTTGAATGTGTTGAAATATGGTCAAGTCCCCTTGCCTAGAGTCATCAGACATCTGATACTCAAGCAGTCCAGGCCTAAGTTCCTCACTGAAGCCCTCCTGTCCAGACTTGCATCATTTTCTGCACACCCCCTTTTATTTACAGCACTACTGTCTACCTGGTTTCCAATGCCGGAGATCTGTAAGTCCTCCTTGATTCCTCTCTATTTCCCTGACTTTCCCACACTGAACCAATCATAATGTCCTGCTGATTTTTCCCTCAATGCTTTCTCACACTTATGGCTTCCTTTCCACTTTGTATCTCTGCCCTGGCCCAGGATGCATCATATTTTAGCATAAGTTACTTCAGTAACTTTCTCTTTCATCTGTGAGGCTGTAGTCTTTCCCCACTTTCAAATCTATATTCCACACTACTGCTGAAACAATCTATCCAAAGTGTAAATCTGCTAATGCCTGTTCCTTGCTTATAACCCTCCATTGGTGCCCCGGGCTGAAGAGCTTTCTAAAATGCATATTCCAGGTCCCTTGGCCAGTCTTACTTAATCAGGGTCCCTAAGGATCCATCAGATGATTTTCATGTGTAGCCATATTTGGGAAGAACTGATCTATAATTTATAATCTAAGCGCCATAGCATGTCTTACAAAATTCCTGTGTTCTGTCTCCTTCTCCAAGAGTAATCTCTTTTCTCTCTCTGCCTCATATGTCATGCTCTAGGAATGTCAAATATAATGTGCCTTTCCATATGTATCATTGCCTCTATGCTTTGTTCAGGCAATCCCCTTTTCTGCCCCTGAAAAAATGCAGTTATCCAGGACGTTTTCCTTTATCATGTGCCCTCTCCTTTTTCTACCGTGATAAGTGCCCTTTCTCTCCTTCCCTGAGCACTCCATATATTACTCAATCAAAGCATTTGTCGTATTATGTTGAAATGGTCTGTTTAAATTTCTCTCAGTCCCACCAGTTCACAGCGCAGGGCTAGGTATTCAGTAATACCTAGCTGAACAGAATTGAACGCTGGAGGCAGGGAGATAACACTGTTCTGAGGAGTATGAAGTGCTACACAGGCACTCAGAAATAAACCTTTTAATAATTTTATAACTTGTAGGGATTTGTGAAGTTGAGCTACTCAGGTATTAAGAGTTAAATTGATCTGCACATATGCTGAGGACGTTTTAAACACCACATAGGTAACACCAGGAGACACAGATGTTTTTCTTAAACTTATTCTCTCACGATTCAAATAAAAGTTAACATGCACTTAGCTTTATGCCAGTTGAAATTCTCTTGACAGTCTAATAGTTTAAAGGGATGATTGCAGGTATTTATTATGACCAGATTCCTGTATTTGTTATTCTTTGAATTCTCCAGTAACTTTTTAGAAAGCTAATCTTGTGAGAGCAGCCAAGGTTGTCAAACTTTTTCTTGGCAACCTTTTTATCTCAGGCAACATTCTTATCATTATTGATAAACTTCACCAGATCTGAAACACTTAGCCACTCCCCTGCCCACACACTTACCTTTGAAAACTCTTGTCACCCAACGAGCTTGAAGTTCAGCAGTTGGGAAAATGGAACCTAGGGGCTGGATGAGACCAATGCATGCAAAGGTTGACTTCTCCAGGTGAGCTGGGAATATGTACTTATACAGTGAGACCATATTATTCTCTACTTTAACAAGTGAATCTTCAAGGAAGGGAAAAGAGAAACTATATCCTGTTGCAAAAATGATGACATCAATGTTCTCCTCCACTGTTCCATCCTCAAAAATGGCAGAAGTTTCTGTGAGCTCTTTCACTGTAGATTTCACCTTGATGGCTCCACAGAGTAGACGACTTGGGACATCATCATTTAGTACAGGTTCCTTCATAATGTATCTGAGACATACAGAAGAAAAACATTCTGAAGGATCATTTCCTGAGGAATCTTGAACCCTCTTGACATTTTTGGGGTATGGCTCTGAAAATAAAACAGCTTTTCAAATATCTGTAAAACTTTAACTTAACTGGTTGTCTGTGCCAGTCCTTATTTTCTGACTTAATTCTCATGTCACAAATACCTCCCATCAATAAATAAGGGAAAACATGTAGGCGATGTGAGTGAAAGAGATTTTAAAGAAGGAAGCATCCCCTAGGGCTTAGACAAAATCCCTGAGTATTATGGTGGTTATTATACCATTTCTGTTTTTAACCTTTGTCATGCTATCTAGCTTTTATTATTTTGCTGTTTTATTTAACTCCTATTTGATCATAAGTAAGGAAGAAAAAATTTGCTAAATTCCTACTACTTTTGAAACCTATGAAGGGATCAATGTGAAAATTAATGTATAAAATTAGGTTTGGTGATATTTGTTAGTCCCAAATATCCATGGAGTCTCTGTTAGTAATAACATGGATGTTGATGCAAAGTCTGCTTATATTTTTTTGTAGATTTGAGAACATTTTCTTTTTCTTTTTTTAATAGACAATACATGGCACTTATGTCCGATCTTAGAATATGGTAGTTACATGGCAGGCATTTGTTAAAAGATTCTGAAGCTCTTCTGTTTTTTAAGGGAAGAAACCTGTAACAACTAAAGCAAAAGAACCATTCATAACATTTGCTTGTGCTTAAATCACTGACATATAACTGACATCAACAGAGATGTGTCTTTTAGCAAAGAAAAAGGAATGTGTTTCAAGGTTGCCCATGGGAAGAACCTTCATGGTATAGGGTTAGCAAAGCATAAATTATTAGATGGAGAATTACGTGTTTCCCACCACACCCCTCTGAAAGGCAGGTCATAGTCTCTTGAAACAGTTTTCTCCAATGTTAGATAACTCTGGGCATTAGAAAGTTCTCCCCTAGTTTTGCTTTCTGGAGCAGCTTGTAACACTTTTGCTTCATCTTCTTAAGTGTTTTTTAAAGGTATACAGAACAAATTTAGAATCCAAACTCCAGGACCTATAAGGTACTCATATTGTTAGATTGTAGTTTGAAATACTGCGTTAGCAATTTGAATCTTTGTTAAAGGAGACACCTTCAGACAACTTTGCTCACCAACGAGTATACCATTAAAGCAAAATAACTCTACTTGTTTTGAGGCTCAAGGCCATAATTTTCATGGTTGAACCACCGATTCATCTGTTGTTCTATCATCCATTTTACAACTGTTCGTGGCAGTACATTGCGGAGCATAGAACGAAACCGGGTGTGGAACACCGAGTCCCAAGGATAACCATCTTCAGAGACACGACTCATGACCCAGGTGCCATGCCTGGTGCTGATAAAAACCTGGCAAGCAAAAAGAAATGCAGTTTAAATTAGGGCATTGTCCCATTTAGGAGGAATCTACTACGAAGGTAATGTATCACATGTGTAGCCCCAGAATTTACAGAGATTCTGTTTTAAAGATGATTGACCTCAATGTAAAGTATCTCCTAAACAGGGGTACCCCATGGCATTTACACTGATATAGGAAGACTGCAACAAAGTCTTGAGAACTTCATGCAGACATGAGAAAGTCTTTGGGCTAATTCTGATGATGAAATCCACAAGTCTTTCCCATGTTTACAGTTGTGGTTTGCTGCTCCTTAAGAGAAAGTTCCTCCCTCCTCTCATGTTTTCCACCCACCTAAGTTTCTTCTATAGTGCAGGTAGAATGATTATAATCCTTGGAAACATGTGATTATAGCCTAGTGACTACATAAGTATAAGTATATGCATCTGCATATCTCTGGATGGAGAATAACAAGGGAAATAATCTTCCTTCCATACTTAAAAGACTTTATTATTGTGTGTGTGTGTGACAGGGTCTTGCTCTGTCACTCAGGCTGGACTGCAGTTGTGAAGTCATGGCTCATTGCAGTCTTGACCGCCTAGGCTCAAGTGATCCTCCCACCTCACCATCAGACATGACCACCACATCAAGCTAATTCAAAAAATATTTTTGTAGAGACGGTCTCACTATGTTGCCCAGGTCAGTCTCAAATTTCTGGGCTTAAGCAATCCTCCTGCCTCAGCCTCCCAAAGTGCTGGGATTACAGGCATGAGCCATAGTGCCTGATATGTATTTTAAAAGTTAAAAACTGTGAACTTATACTGTGATTCTCTGTCTCTTAAAGTGCACATCTGAATCCTCTTTCAGATGTATTCTTCACCTTGTTTACTAAGATTTCTCGTTTCCAAAATGTACATTTAATCTCTTTTCAAATGTATATTTTGCTGTGTTTACTGTTACTCCCTCATTGTCCAAATGCATATTTGAACCGCTTCTTAAATGTTCACATACCATCCAATGAGTTTTGTTTAAGGCTATACTTGATAAACACATAAGATTCACTTGCAAGGTAACCAATTTACTTAAGAGGATTGGATATGGGCTGCTTGGGTTTGAATCCAAATCACACTACTGTGGGTGAACTATTTCAATCTGTGTTGCCATAGGTGAATGATTTCAATCTGTGCCTCAGTTTCTCTCTCTGTAAAATGGGGGTATTAACAGTACCTACCTCATGGCATTCTTGTGTAGATTAAATGAGGTGGTATATATAAAGTACTTGAAATATTGCCTGGCAAGTGATAAGTACTGCTAGCTGTTATTTTGTAAAGTTAGGCTGGAAAAGAGGAGTTTCATACAGTGCCTTATGTCTGGAGTGAACCAGAATTTGGAGACAAATTTTGTGGGGATGGGCCTTAAATTCTTAGCTTGTGAAGTAGCACCTACACCAAGCATTCCTGTATTGCTGGTCTGTGTGTGGTATATACCTATGTTCTGAATTTCTCCTGCCGTTGCCCTTAGGCTGACTTGGCAATACTTTGATTAGATATTAGATACAAAAATATTTCCATTAGTGTCTCTTTCCATTATTTACTGTCCCCTCTTCTTCCTCAGGATCAAACCCTGTTTCAAATGGAATGCTCTGCCTGTTTGATTCACTCTTTTTCTGTTGTGACCCTCCCTACAGCAGGGGAGTCTAACCTGCCTTAGTGACACTAGCTGCAACAGCGAGAGAAACGTGAGGATTTAGGCTCAGTCTGCTTTATCTGAGACGCATGCTTTAGGTCAAAGGCCAGAGATTTGGTTTTTGGTCAGAAGTATGTAAATGACTGATATGGTTTGGCTGTGTTCCCCCACCCAAATCTCACCTTGAATTGTAATAATCTCCACGTGTAAAGGGCGGGACCAAGTGGAGATAATTCAATCATGGGAGAGGTTTCCGCCATGCTGTTCTCCTAATAGGGAGTAAGTTCTCACGAGATCTGATGGTTTTATAAGGGGTTCCCCCTTCGCTCCCATTCTGGCTCCTGCCACCTTCGTAAAGAGGTGTATTCCACTGTGATTGTTAGTTTCCTGAGGCTTCCCCAGCCATGTCAAACTGTGAGTCAATTAAGTCTCTTTTCTTTATAAATTATCCAGTCTTGGGTATGTCTTCATAGCAGCATGAGAATGAATTAATACAATGATGCAGCACCATCCCATATGATCTTGAATGGTGCTTTTGGATTGTGGTAGAGAGTGCTGTGTCCTTATAAAGGTGAATTTCTTTTAACAGAGCAGTGCACACTCAGAATTTTGGTGAGTTCAGGTGATAATTTCAAGTTACTCAGATGCATCTAGTTCTGTTCCTAGCATGTATAGCTCTTGTAAAGTCTCTGGTTAGTCTTTTCACAGAAGGCTTGAGAGTATATTACTCTGTGTAAAAGGTTTTATGATAGTTATAGATTTATGTTGTTACTCTAATAAATGTTGAAGAGATTAGTGCAGATGAATGATTATAATCCTGGAAATGTATGATTATAACATATTTAGGAGGAATCTACTATGTAGCTGATGTATCACATGCATAGCAACAGAATTTATTGAGTCTCTGTTTTAAAGATGATTGACCTCAAAAGTGAAGTACCTCCTAAAAAGGGGGCACCTAGTGGCATTTACACTGATAGAGGAAGATGGCAACAAAGTCTTTTGCACTCTGTGCAAAAGATTATTTAAGGAGCTGTAAGGCATGCAGATAGAGCCAAGGTAGTTTCTTAATACTGAATCTGGCACCATAAGGCTTTCTGTAGGGCAAGACCCATACAAGGAACTGGTTCTTGCCATCTAAGATTTGATATCTTTGGAATGAAGAGATCTAAGTCCAAATCACTGGTCTGACAACATGTAGTAGTCTAGGATGGATCTTCACTTGGCTGACTGCTACATCAGCTCCTCACATACTGCCCCATTATACACTGTTAGGCTTTGTGGGTGTTCCCAGCATGAAAGAGCCTAGAGCTGGTACTCTCACTTTCCAGCTCTGCTCCTCTCCAGGCTGTCACAGTTCCTGCCCCCTCACTTGTTCTTCACACTGAGATAAGTGACAAGAGGTTTGTTCTCACAAAGTGAAGACTTACTGGGTCTAGTAAATCTCCTTCTGGTGTTAGTGACTTGCTCTGTTCCCAGGCTGGTACTGACTGACACTGACTGATGGATGACTCTGACAGGGCCCAATGTAACCCCTTCATTAACCTGCTGGGCAGGCGTCATGTTTGCTTATAACTTTTGCCGCTGGGTATCTAGAGTCCTGAAAGTGTAAGACTCAGAATGAAAATGATTTGTTGGTTGTGCAGAGGGCCATGGTAAGCCTTGGGTGGCCAGAGATACCAGGCTGAGGGAGCTAGTGTAAGAGTGATTTGGCATCTTGTTCAGGCCTTCTTGAGAGGGGATGCTTTGGGAGAGGACCTTTAGCGATTTTTCTTTCTTTGCCTAGGTCTATCCTTGCAGAAGGAGTTTATTTTTTTGCTATTCCTTACCACCACTGTCAGCAGCAGCATCGTATAATGTTTGACTTTTTGGCAGCTCAGCTGGTGTCATTCCTGAGCAGGTGCTAAGAGGACAGTGGTTAGAAGGCCTCAGGAAGCACCTAAATATCTATGATTTTAATTGAGAGACCTACTATCCATTTAATCTTTTCTTTTAATAATATTTGGGTAACTGAAGATTATATTTCAAATATAATTCAAATATGCACTAAATTTCTAAAAGCCACTCTCCAGAATATGAACAGATTAACCTCTCATTAAACATCCAGGTAGAAACAAGGTGTCTTGGCTGGGTATGGTGGTGCATGCCTATAATCCCAGCACTTTGGGAGGCTGAGTTGGGCAGATTGCTTGAGTTCAGGAGTTTGAGTCCAGCCTGGGCAACGTGGTGAGACCCTCATCTCTACAAATATATGAAAATTAGCTGGGTGTGGTGTGGCATGTGCCTGTAGTCCCAGCTACTCAGGAGGCTGAGATGAAAGGAAGGCTGGAGCCCAGGAGGTCAAGGCTACAGTGAGCCATGTTGATGAAAGGCCTCTTTCTGGAAAATCATCTGGTCAAAAGTTCACGTTTTAAAAATGGGGGAGCCATCGCCCAGAGAAGTGAAATGAATCACTCTAGGATACATGGCTGGTTAGTGACAGAGCTAGGAGGTAAACTGGTTTCTTGACTTCCAGATTTTCTATGATGCCACAATGGGCTACCAACCAACTAGTTAATGAGGATTTGAGCCGTGATTATATAGCTGGGGTTCTCCAGTATAGCATCCCCACTTCCTCCCCTCCAGGTACATGGTAAGCAGAGAGCATCGCACCTGAGCAGCACTCTTACTCAGCTCAACAGCAATATCGGAGCCCGAGTTTCCCATTCCGATCACCAGGATGCGTTTTCCCTCAAATCCATCTGGATGCTTGTATTGGCGGCTATGGAAATATTGGCCTTTGAACCTCTCGATACCTTCAGGGGGAAGAAGAGAGAAGTCTGAGCTCCAGAGCAACTATGTCAAGCTGATTTCAATAAAACTGCATTGTCAGCTTTTCCTTTCTGCAGTCAATTTGTTTTGCCTCTTCTCTAAAGGAGTAAAGCACATAAAGTTTAGGTACCAGACCAGGTGGGGCCTGTAATCCCAGTGCTTTGGGAGGCCTAGGCAGGTTGATTGAGCTCAGGAGTTTGAGACTAGCCTTAGCAGCATAGTGAAACCCTGTCTCTACAAAAAAAAAACAAAAAACAAAAATTAACTGGGCATGGTGGCGCATGCCTGTGGTCCCAGCTACTCAGGTGACTGAGGTGGGAAGATTGCTTGAGCTTGGGAGGTAAAGAATGCAGTGACCCCTGATTGCATCACTGTACTCCAGTCTGGGTGACAGAGTGAGACTGTCTCAACACCAAAAAAAAAAAAAAAAAAGGACCAAAGGGGTTGATTTTGATTTCGGAGGCTCTGATAGAGACAAACAAATGGTCATGAATACAGCAGGACCAGATACAGCAGGACCAGATACAGCAGGACCAGATACAGCAGGACCAGATACTGCAGGACCAGATACTGCAGGACCAGATACTGTCTTCTGGCTTCCCATTATACTATTTTGGACTATATAATGACGCTTGACACTTTAATATCACATATTAGGCAGGGTGTAGTGGCTCAAGCCTGTAATCCCAGCACTTTGGGAGGCCAAGGTGGGCAGATCAACTGAGGTCAGGAGTTTGAAACCAGCCTGGCCAACATGATGAAATTCTGTCTCTACTAAGACTACAAAAATTAGCCAGGGGTGGTCATGCACTTGTAATCCCAGCTACTTGGGAGGCTGAGGCAGGAGAATCGCTTGAACCTGGGAGATGGAGGTTGTGGAGGTTGCAGTGAGCCGAGATTGTGCCACTGCATTCCAGCCTGGGTGATAGAGTGAGACTCCATCTCAAAAAAAAAAAAAAAAAAATCACTTATCAGATACTCTTAAATATTTCTTAAGCACATTATGAAGTACTATTATAATTGTGTAATAGTTAGAATACAATTTAGCAATCTTATTTTCCAAAAGTAAACAAAAACTGAAACTAAAAACCAGGAACATAGGAGTTGGTTTCCATATTGTGTAAGTCAGTGACTTGCTGGTGGTTAATCACAGACAAGCTTCTCTGTGTCCTTTCCTAGTTACTATTACACTTCCCAGAAACATACGACTTTATAAAGGATTTGCCATTGACGGTGGGGTTGCTCGAAAGAATCTTTAGATTATTGGTTCTCAAAGTGTGGTCACATGGCCAGCAATATCAGCATTGCCTGGTGTTAGAAATGCAAATTCTCAGCCTCATGCCAGACCTACTGTCTTAGTTTGTCTTCTATTTTTAACAAAATATCTGAAACCGAATATTTTATAGTGGAAGGAAGTTATTTTGGCACACAATTGTGGAGGCTGAGAAGTCAAGGTTGAAGGGTTGAATCTGCTAAGAGCCTTCTTACTGGTTTGGACTCTTCAGAGTCCCAAGGCAGCACAGGGCATTGCATGGTGAGGGAGCCAAGCATGCTAACACGCTAGCTCAGGTCTCTATTCCTCTTCTTATAAAGCCAGCAATTCCACTCCTGTGATAACCCAAGAATCCATTAACTCATTTATCCACAAATGGCTTAACCCATTCATGAGGGCAGAGCTCTTATGACTCAATCACCTCTTAAAGGCCCCATCTCTTCATACTGCCCCATTGGGGATTAACCTCAATATGAGTTTTGGACAGGACATTCAAGCCATAGCACCTATTAAATCAGAAATATGGAGGGTGGGGCCTAGCAATTTGTGCTTTGAAAAGCCCTCCAGGTGACTCTATTTGGGAACAATTGCTTTAGATGAGCAGGTCTTAATCCTGACTATATATTAAAATCACCTGAGCAAACTTTCATTGCTCTAACCCTACTCCATAGTGTTTGAATCTTTGGGGGTAGGTCCCCAGGCCATCAGGGATTTAGAAGTTCCCCCAGGTGATTCTAATATGAAGCCTGGCCTATGAACCACTATATTACCTATTTTCCTGAGGGCCTTGGGAAAGAAGTGTGTTCTCTGAGGAAAGACTTGGGTGGACCAGAACAGGTGGATGCAGGGTTCTATTCTTGCACTTCTCTCCCCATCACTAACCTGCAGAAGCATTTCTTTCTAGGAGTGCTCCCCTTGTGTGTGAGAATGGACCTGTGGAAAAGGCTCGGTGTTTGACAGGGTAGAAAAAGGCCAATGCAAGCACACGACTAAAAGGGCCTCTCCAACAGAGAACCAGTTTGATGTGCATTCTCTAAAATTCTGCTGAGGATTTAGTGACTTCCAAGGAAGTTGGCTCTGAGTTCTATGTGTGATGAAGACTCAGAGGCCGATAGAAACAAAGATGCTGTTTGGTGTCTTTCATCTTTTTAGCTCTATCTCAATCTTATTGAGCCAAGTTGTGCCTAGTTGCAGCAATGAATTCTGCCTGTCAATCTAAACTACATATAAAGTACCTGTAAACCTACTCCAAAAAGCTGGGAATCCCTGCGGGTCTTACCTGGAAATGACTTCAGTGGGATATGAGGTAGAAAGTGGTGGCCAGTGCAAACCATAACTGCATCAAAGACAGCACTCTGCTCCTTGCCATTGCTCTGAGTGACAACCTTCCATTGGCCAGAGGATGAGAAATCTGGACACTTTCTCACACTAAGGACAGTTGTCTTGAAGAAACAGAGAAGGCATCATTGAGAATTACTCCAGGATAACATGGGCCAAGTGTGTCCTTCTCATCGCTGCTTCGTGCAAGAGGCCTGACTCAGCAGTGGGACCAGTCTGTTAAGGGTGTTGAATACTGAGTAAGGACTTGAGAGAGAAAAGAAAAACAAGTTCTTATGAAAACTGTCAGAATCCAGATGGAGTCACTAATGTTAACAAACCCGACAAATAGAAGTGGGAAAGGCCAGAAAGAGTGGGTTCTCATGGTGTGTGCCTGGTAACAAAAAAGACTACAAAAACCACCACCTTGCAGAAAGACCATCATAATCTTACACAAAAATGACTTCTACAAGAACATCTGCTCAGTGACTGTCCAATCTTGGACTGGCATCACCCTTGTTATTGCTCTTTATATTTATATAATTATTTCAAAACAATTATGTAATTGTATTTTTCCCCCATTTAAAAACTTTTGTCTTCCTTTAACTCCCTGAATATACACATAGTTTACCATGGCATGTACATTCTCATTACAGTGCTCTATTACAAAATAAGTTTTTTTAAAGAACTTCTGTTTGTTATTTGATAGTCTGAACAAGGAAACCAATAATTCAAGTGATCATGCAATTGGCATATGTCAGGAACGTTAAGTGTAATAACACTACTTTTTGGGTTTTACATCAGGTTGTTATATTTCAACAAACACTTAGAATGGGATAGTTTATTCATAATTGCTTTCATTATCAGAATAACTTTTCTATTTAAATACCTGGACCAATGTAGAGAAACCCATTTCCCCAAAAATACCTTACCTGGAACTGAATATATTTTAACAGATCAAATTTTTTGGCAAAAATCCTGAAATATTCCAGAAGTTTAGAATTATGCAGGAAGTTTGGAAAATCTTCGGGCATTGGAAAGTCACTAAAACAGGACATTTCTTTGCTGGTGTTGGTAACGACAGATTGATAGATGCTTGCTCGGCCATCTTCCACCTTCTCCTGAAGGATCAAATACAATAGTGATAATTACACACTCAAATTTTTTGTTTGTTTTTTACTCTTCCTACATCTAACCCCTGGGTGATGCAATTGTCTTTGGTTGCTGTGGTGTGATGACAATGTTTAGGTGACGAGTGCAGTCTATGTGTTCCATCAATCATTCTGTGATGACACCAGTTTGTTGCCTGCCTGTAACACTCACTGTGAGGGGTAGGAGTGATGTGGCAATGGTGAGGTTGGGCACAGGGACAATTATTTTGGCACATTGCAAGATATTAGGATCCTGGGTCTCTACCTATTTAATGCCAGTCTTTGGGACAACCAGCTTACTTCCTGAATTCCCCTTGGGGAGGCTGTATACACCCACCAGCTCTTTAGAAACCAGTAAACCCTGGGACACTGGGCAGAGAACATAATAGAGAATTTCAGTATTCTAAAATGAATACTTTTGGAGGAAGGGAGTTTGCACATTTTGACACATTTTGATTTGAATCCCTTTACACAAATCAATCATTGTCAAGTGATAAAGGTGAGTAGCACTGATATCTTATTTATTTATTTATTTTTGAGACAGGGTCTCACTCTGTGGCCCAAGCTGGAATGCAGTGGCATGATCATGGCTTACAGCAGCATCAACCTCCTGGGCTTAAGTGATCTTCCCACCTCAACCTCCCAGGTAGCTGGGACCACAGGCATGTGCCACTACACGGGCTATTTTTTTTTTTTTTTTTGTAGAGATGAGGTCTTAACCATGTTGCCCAGGCAGGTCTAAACTCCTGAGCTCAAGCAATCCACCTACCTCGACCCCTAAAAGTGCTGGGATTACAGGCATGAGCCACTGCGCCCAGCCCCAAGACCAAATAATTTTACAAGTAGCATAGAGTAGAGATAAATAGGAGGGTTCTGGAGTCAGACTGACTGTGTTGATGTCCTAATTCTGCCACTCATGGCTTCGTGACCATGAGCAAGTTACATAGGTCAGTTTCCTCATTTTCCTCTATAAAATGGGGCTCACTAATAACTTAAACATGCAACAATTGTTCCAAGGCTTTAATGAGAGTGAATAAAGTACTTAGCAGAATGTCAGGCTCGAAATACATAAGAATATTGATCTCTTTTCTATTATTATTGGCCACTAGAGTTAAATTTACTAAGCCAGCCACAGTTTTGAATCAGTTAAACTAAGACGGTTATACTACAGCCAAAATGCTAGTTTTTAAAAGACCCAACAATTTGGCTTGAAAATGTGGTTGGCTCCTCTATCAGGTCAATTTTAAGGGAATTTTGAGTGATGAGAAGAGCTGATTTGATGTCTGAGGCCCTACGGTAATCTTAGGGCCGGGGCAAAACTTTGGGAGGTTTTATTTTAC